TGGAGACCAAGAGAGCATCACAGTTACTAGGAAAGAAAGAGACACAGGGAGGGACAGAACAACAGACAGCAAATGACGCAGATGCGCTCACAGAACGCACAGCACCAGGCATGGCTGGGGAGTTCTTTACTTAGCTCACCAGCCCACGGAAGCCTCGGGAACAGGTAGGGGGGTGGGCTATCATGACCTCCATCTCCCAGGTAGGGAAACTGAGGCCGGGTGAACTGACATCTCCCGAGTCATATAACTCTGACGTAGCTGAGCTGGGGTACAAACCCCGATCCACTGGCTCCAGGGTCAAGGTGTTCACTCAGGCATGGCTCAATAAAGCCATTTTATGAGGGACAACGAAAGTCCCGTCTGATCCTCACCCCTCTCTACTTCACCAAACCTCATCACTCTGATTCCTCCACTCCAATAGAGTTCCTGATCTCCACCGTGGTGCCTGAAAATGACCAGCTGGTTCCCTCTATTTTTGTTGAAAATTTTTGCTCCCTCTGACTCCTAAGCCAGTGCTCTTTCTACTGCGCCCTTTCATACCGTACACCCATCCTAATTTACCAACCCCCACAACTTCTTTTCTTCTTGTCCCTAACTTCAGTTTAAGCATGCCCCACCTCTTGTCATGAATACCACCGCTAACTCAAGGGCAATCTATAGCCAACCCGGTGCCAGACGTCTCAAACCAAGTTGGCCCAAGGGACTGAAGCATCCCTTCAGGGTTCACTGTATCCCGTTAAGCCCAACCCCTGGCATTCAGAGTCAGCTCCACCCATCCATTAAGGGCCAACCCTCGCTCAAGGTCTAGGCTAGGTCCACCTGGGCGGGCACTTTCCAATGCTGTCTCCGGCTCATTTAACCCAAGTACCAGACCCTCAGGCTCCGCCCAAGCCGATTAGCCCCGCCCAGGGCGCGCACAGCCCTGCCCTATATCACTAGACTCCGCCTCCCGGCGTGTAAGCCCCGCCCCACTGCCCACAGGCCGCATCTTCTCTGGGCCCTTCCCCCAGACCCACAACCCCCGACCTCCCCACCCTCACCGTAGGTCTCGGCCATGACTCGGTAGCGGCCGCTTAGGGCCTCAATATGGCGCTGAGGCCGCGCCTGCTCCTCGGCTGGCAGCCGCCTGACTCCGGCTGCAGCCCGGATCCTTCCTACTCCCCGGGCCCGGCGCCGCCACTTCCGCCTCCACCCCCTCCGCCGCGACCCGCTAGGGCTGCGGGGTACCAGGCCACGCTTCTCGAAGGGCGGGATTGGCTGACTCGGCGGGCAGTGGGCGGGACAAAAGACGCGGATTGGTGCTGAGAGGGGGGCCGAGTCGCAAGGGGCGTGGCCGAGATCAAGGATTGGCGGAACCAGTGGAAGTAGGCGGTGCAGAGATGCTTCTCGGGGCCGAGGAACGGATTTGGTCAGGAACACCGGGGCAGGGCCGAGACTCCGGATTGGTGGGAGCGGATTGGGGGCGGGGATAAATGCAAATAAGGGGTGGGGGTAGGAGCAGGATTGACCCAAAGGACCTGGCACAGGTGATGATGCTGAGCTGCCAGGTGCAATTACTGAGTTCAAAAGTAGGAAAGATAAAAATTAGGGGAATTCACGTCGGTTTACCTCCCATGTCTCTTTGCAGTCTTCCAAGGGAACCTCTGCTCTGCGATTTATGTCCTCCTCATGGTCTGACTGACTCATTCCCAATAGTTCCTCTCCCTCCCATTGGTCTAGAGAAATACGGTACCCCCCAATTGGGCCATTTAGGTTGTCCCATCTTCTCATTTGCTTACGTCCGGTCTACGCCCGCCTCCGGTACCCAGCGTGGAGCAAGAGGGCCTTTCATCAGTGGAAATCTGCCTAGCAACCGATGACATTCAGTGGTTTAATTGGATCGATTCGGGAACCGGGGCAGTAGTTCCTTTATCCACTCGTGCCCCACCCCAAAGACCACAGAACTGCGGGTTGCTTTCGGCGGCTGGTGTATTTGCGTAAAGGCAGGGGCGGACGACGTCGTGGACTGACCGCAGGGCCGAGCTCACGGGCAGTAGAAATCCCACGTCTGAAAAAGAGAAAGGGCAAACAGCGCAGAGGAAATCAGACGTCACACAACGGACCCCGGTGGTTTTATGATCCGCAGGGGGGTGTCCACGGTAAGCGCGATGCCAATTAGCCTCCCTCCAAAACACACTCACAGCGACCCTATAGACGTGGGTGGGAGGGGGCGAACAACCGGATCGAACCATCCCAGTGGGTTTCCAAGGCTGTAACTCTTTAAAAGAGTAGAAAGTTGCCTCCACTCAAGTACTCCCTTAACACAAGAATAGTACTTTCTTCTAGTAAATTGGCATTCTATGATGCTCACCTTCCCGACACAACCGCTGAAGACAACGCGGATGAATAAGCAAATGTGGTGAAGAAAGCAGATGGTGCCTGGCTATCAAAAGATATGGCGTCTGGGGTCTTAAAAGCTTGAAGGTAAACAAGCAGCCATCTAGCTCAGAAGGAACAAAGCCCACATGGAACAACATATCAACCTGTGTGATCACGAGGTGTTGAACGGATCACTGAAGACAAAGGGGTGCATAAGCAAATGTGGCGAAGAAAGCTGATGGTGCCCGGCTATCAAAAAGTATAGCGTCTGGGGTCTTAAAG